AAAAAATCAAATTTCAGTCTTATTTTACATTTTTTTCATTCTTAGGAATGTCTAAATTCAGTTAAACTAGCAATTCCGTATTATATTTATAAATCTTTATAACATTATACAAAAATTAGATTTTTCTTAAGAACTGAAATTTTGCCGGGAATGGGGCTTTAATATTCAAACATGTGCACTAACCGTTATAATACACATGATTAAATACTATTATAATAAGCTTCACCGGGCACACAATGATTCGGTCTTGGGATGCCAGGGGTAGGCGCTTCAGTTCAATCTTATTATTTTTGTTTGTTATGCATCGTAATTTTCCCGATTTTTAGGTGTGAACACAATTTGTATTTTCTTTTTAATTATACTGTGGTATAGACAAGAAGAACAATTCCAAGTAAAAATATTTGCGGGAAATTCAGTAGTTGCTTCTGTTCGTTACGGACTGCCAATGCACTTTTTGACATCACACCACACCTAAACATGCGCCCCCGATTATAACTTCTTTTTATTGAAAATTTAGGAATATGTTAAGAGAGTATTAATTGTTGTAGCCTAGATTGTAGGCTTATTCATTACGTTTGCCGTGCCTGACCATCGTAAACGAAATATCTCTTGCTCACTCTAGATCACTAACTTTCCTAGGCCTAACTGCAATACACTAGTAAGCGAACTTCGCAGGCCGCCGGCAGCGGGTAATAAATTTTAGGTACGTAGCGAATCTGTCACCTGACCTGTCACTTGTGATTACCCGAGTAAGTCGGGTAGCAGGACTGAATTTGCTAAGGCAAGATTTTCGGCATGTAAAACTTTGCACTGTAAACTTGGACATTCTGGCAATTTCCTACTGATTGCAAATGGCTGCAACTCTCGTCGTGCTAGCGAGCACATGTTTGCTGTTCTGTACTTATTTATTTGTTGAAAAAGGTACTGTATGGGTGGTTGAATCATGTAAAAATGTTTTATAATCATATGACTCTGAGAAGAACACTAATGTAAAAAAATTAAGATTTAAAGTTAGGTGCGAAAGTGCATTAGCGCCATATTCTTCTAGCTAGTTCGGAGTGTTACAGTATCTGTTTGCTCGGATCATAGTCAGCTCGGATTGTAGACAATCTTAAGAAATCAAAGAGGTGTGCATCTATATTTGTGAGGTGAAATAAACCGTAGCAGCAAAAACACTTGGGCAACAATGGTGGGCGTTTAACAAATTGTTTTTGCTGCTACGTTTTATTGGGCAACTTAACAAAGTGTTTTTGCTGCTACGTTTTATTTTCCACCATCCCAGCAAAAAGATACTATAACACTCTGAACTAGCTAGGAGAATATACTTTGAAAAATACCCCCCATAAAAAAATTTATTAGTTTATCACCCCTCCTTCGTCACTTTTTGGGGAAATTCTGATTTTTTTTTCTTTTTTAAGCAACGTATATTTTTATTACAAACGGTCGTTTTTCTATCTTTTTTGACAGATTTTGAAAGATGAAGATTTCTTACAAATATGTTTAGTGGTACAACAAAAACATACTTTTAAAATATAAATTTGATATTTTATTCTTACGACTTTTTATATGTGTCCCTAACACCCAGTTTCTAATTTATAATACACAAAAGAATGAAAATAGAATTGTGATACAAAAACTCTTGGCATCCTAAACCTATTGTAGAACAACATCAAGACAAAAAAACCCATTGTCCACCCCACTTTACAATGTTATAGTCCATTGTTGGGTGGCTTTTGACAGGGGTGGCTTTCTTCCAATTTCCATACACATTGCATCTTAACTTATCTAATTGAATACATTGTTTAAGTTAAATAAGAGGAAAATACATCCTAAGCATAAGTAAGGCCTCATTTTCACCTTTGCTGAGGGTTTTATGGGTAATTAATTTTTGAACTGCAAAAAGTCTACTACAGTACAGTCAGGAAATATTGCTTCGTATCTGCGCGTAACGACTCGTAGCCTGCTCGTAGGTATCGTTTGGAACGTAGCTACGAACCTCTACGAAGGTCATTGTTATTTTAATTAGCTTTGCAATGATCGTAGGCTGGATCGTCGGGCTGATAATCAATGCGTAAACAATATTGAAATATAGTTTACCAGCTTTCAACGCGTAAGCAATGTTGCAATTTACTAAATAAACAATGTTAGAACTTTATTGTTTTGTTGTATCCTACCTTATTATTAAATCGATCATGTTTTAAAACTGTGTTTAGTTCGCTAGCTGGGTGGGTAACCTAGTGGGCATTCAGTATGTTCAAATTT